AGACAGACAGACAGACAGACAGACAGACAGACAGACAGACAGACAGACAGACAGACAGACAGACAGACAGACAGACAGACAGACAGACAGACACTTTATTGATCCTATGAGGGAAACTGCAGTGCAACAGCAGCGTAACACAGACAACACAGAGACAGTGTTACGAATGATACAATAATAATAATAATATAAGTAGAAGAGTTACTCGCAGCCCAGAACACACAAGGAACACAACAAAACCAGAACACAACAGTACACAAAACCAGAACCTGTGAATGAAAGAAAACGTTGAAGCCAGGGTGCTTACCACAAGCGGAGCCTCCATGAGCTGAAGAAAGGTGTAAATGTTGATGGTGGTCAGGGGCCTCCTCAGGGCAGTGCGGTCACAGCCCTCGGACCTGTGAGCCACGGCCTTACAGTGCAGGAACCACAGGCCGGCTGGGAGAGAAGCAGGATCCTTCACTCTGCGCGAACCAGAACATGATTACAAAGGCTCCAGAGGGGCAAGGGCATCTCAAAAGATGAAGGTAAGAGACAACACACAAAAAGCTGCCTAACTAACAAAGCAACAAAAGGATATCAGTGTGTTCATTCAATCCAAACCCTAAGAGATGACAAATTTTTAATTCCTACATGTCCTCCCAAAAAAAAGGATTAGCTGAATACTTTTGCCAAGTCACACTGTCCTTGCTGCCGACTCACCCCAAGTGCTCCAGCACTGTGCCTCCTGTTGTCAGCACAAACTGATACTTGGCCCCATAGACAAAAGCAGTCTCCATCACAGCCCTGTGCTCTGAAATCATGACAAAAAAACAGCTCCTTCCAATAAGATGAATAACAAAACAAAAGTGCATATTTATACCAAATTCTTATCTTTGTCAGAGGAGGTGTTGTAGTCCTTAACGCAAAAGGCCTCAAAACCTAAACAATATATGAGCACTCCAAACATTCCACCACTTGTTTCAAAATCTGAGGCAACAAAGGGTGAACAGGAAGACTTCACACCTTTGTGGAGCTGTAGCATTTTTGCACATGAATTTCATTGAAACCAGGCAGAAATCCTGGGGTATTTCCCATGGTAACAAGGACATTGCAAGCACAATAAAAACAACTAAGGGGACTGAGAAATGAAAGTTGAGAAATGAGGGATACCCAGCATTCTAAATAAGTATTTATTGAGGTAACACTTGACTGTGTTCAGGTGTCTGAATTTCTTTCTGCTTAAGTTATTAAAAAAATAAGTTGGCTATAGGATAAATGAGCCATACTGTATAAGAGCAAAAAAATAGCATAATAAAATTTCTATTAATGGAGGATTGAAGTGAGTCAGTACAACAATCAGCTCAAAACTACACACAGAAAGAGCAATAAAAAAAATACAAAGAGCAGTACAATAATAATAACAACATACATTTCTTTGTAACCCAGGGAGACTTACACTGGTTTTTCTACTCAGACTATTTGACTGTAAACATGACTCATGTTTTATTATCACATGAGCAAACGTACCAGGTATTCCCAGGGCCACGACGTGAGCGAGCACGACGTCTGCCCTCCCCTTCGCTGCTTTCTCGATGTGGAGCAGTTCTGCAGGCGTCTGAACATACTTCACCTCATTGAAGATGACGGTGCTACAGTGAGAGGAGTGATAGCTCAGACACAATCTCCCAGCCACATCTGGAATTCTGCATTCTAACAGCATTCAAGCTTTGAGAGCTGATTTATGAGAAAAAAAAATCTATACAAGTGTTTCTCAACCTTTTCATCCCACACACACACACACACCACTGACCCAAGCATGTTAACATGTACATGTATATTCTAAACAAAACTCATTTTAATGTGTAATCTGTGTTTGCCTTGAAATGGCATATCTGGCACAAATTTGGAGCGAATAGATATACGTACCCTGAAATCATGTGAACTATTATTACAGTACGAAAGACAGAGGTCACTCAGCTCATTTTGTGCCTCATTAAGGTCATCTCGTGCACTGAAATTAATGAAGGTTTGCCGCAGCAAAGGGTTTGAATACTTTCCATTTTCCTGTCATATTAATTACTGACTTTTTTGCATTCTGCTTTGAAGATGTACGTTTTAAAACAACAAAGTGCAAAAACTGTGCAAGGCTCTGAAACCTATGGCAAGGCACTACATATACAGTACAATTTAATGTAATTTTTATTCTCACACGATTTTTCCAAAATTCCACGACACACCCAATAATGTCTGAAGGTACACTATTGTGCCACAGCCACCCTAACACACAGATGAGTCAGATATTCTGAAGACACAACAGAACCGAAGGTTCAAGTTTTTGCTTAGCCAAAGTAAAAACAGACCTGGTTTTGTAGTGGTAAAGGGAAATAATATGTCCATTACGAAGATGTTATTAAAATTTGGGTTAAAAAATCTTTTGCATTTAGTTTTTCCGACTTTAACGTTCGAGCACCTGAAATGAAGAAAGTGAGCCAGCATGAAGTTTACCAGTGTGGGACACTCACAAGAGTACATGAGCCACAATAGCATCAACATCAAAAACAGTGTCGATAGCGAAGATCTTCAGAATTTCACCGCCTCTGAAAGGAGGAAACGAAAGAAAAAAAAAACAGTTAGCAGTCAAGGCAAATTCTTCTGTCCTCAGATTAGCCATTCAGAGGTTTATAACAAGAAACAATACTCCAATAAATTTAGAACCACTGTGCCCTTCCATTAAATCACTACACAGGTGAATGCAACATACTCATAGCCGAACACCGGCTACATTTAAAAAATGAAAGTTTGAATCAACATGAAATACTCTGTAATACTTTGAAGACGCCATTATGAAAACTTACTGCCGACTTCCTAAAAGGAATTAAATGAACCTTAACATCATTAAATCTGGATGAGCCAGAGTGATTCATACACAACTTGTAAAACTGACCTGTAGCCTGCACAGAAAGATTCATTTCATTATCTACTAAATCACTAAGATGGAAAGAAATATTTGCGTAAAGCAACACGAACAGGGGCTAAAATTACCGGAATAAATACACCTTCTTTGAGATGTCTCCACCAGTGCAATATTTTGGCACCTCCACCCTGGAGCAATTTACCTACAAAACATAAAATAAATGAAAAATGGAGTCTACCAAAAAAGGACTTCAATTTTTTTGGAATCTTGTAAAACACACCCTTGCCCATAAAAACCAGTTCTGTGAATAAATTATATACAATTATGTCTGAAAATGAGCTAAATACATTCTAGTAGAAAATGTGATGACTTTTTACACCTGCGATTCCCAGCCCTTGTCCTGTAGGAAGACTGTCTCTTCTAGTTTTTGCTGCAGTCATGTTTTTAATCACCAGCTAATTTATTTCAATTTTCCATTTAAATTTGCTCTCAGCTTTCAGAAATTGTACAGTAGAATATGTCACCTTGGTATTAACCCAGTACCAGCTTTAGAATTGCCTGCCATCAGGTGTGTTGCATGAAATCTAACCAACTAGATCTCTACAGAAGGCAAAAACACTCACTCATGGGAATGTCTGATATACTGCAGTGTCATTCTCACTTGTCTGTGCATCACATTTGATCAATCAGTAAGAGTTTTTTAGTCAGGAATAATGTCAATCAATATGAGAAGAAGCAAAGTTCTCTTTGCTGAATTTGTTTTAAAAAGTACCCTTTCAGCAGGGAATGTTTGACACCCAGGGCTGACCAAAGAAACTAGTTAAATACGTTTTTAAACAAGTGAGTGATTCAATTAATCAACTGAAAAGCTGCAGCTACAGTGTTCCTCCAGGAGCAGAACTGGAAACCACTGTATTATGCTCAGCAATATGGTAATTTGATCCCAGGGTTACAAACAAGTTGAATGCAAAAAGTGGGTATGTTTTTTCAATATATTAGCTTTGAGCCAGTTTATTTCCTATTGCATTTGACTTTTCTAAACAGCTTTTACTATAGCATAATACTCTAATACTAAGAATCTGTCAAAGATTGGTATTTTCTTCACTGCTTCTCCGACAACAAAATCCTGTAATCTGATTCATTCAAACTCTGACATGCTTTTAATTTATATCTACACTTCAAAGAAAAGGAGATTTGGTACGATAACTACAGACCAAATAAGAAATTTTAACTACCACCATAAATGTATCTGTTTCATCTCACACATCCATAATCACAAACAAATGGGTCATGTGGGTGAAAATACTGGCAGGCAGCAGCTCAGGAAAATGACAATAAAACAGGGGAAAAAATGTGCGACAAGTGTGAGTCATAATTTGGGAGATTAGACACCACTGCCAATAATGGAATATTCCAAATGTTAAAAACAGATATGTAAAAAAAAAGAATTCAGCCCAGCATGCTAGGTTTACAATCTAAGCATTCAATTTCAAATATAGCTTGAGCTAAATCAGAATTCAAACCATAAAAAAGCACAATTCATACAATTATCCTAACGTGTGGTGATCATACACATCATGTAGAGATACTGACAAAGCTGGCAGCATTATAACTGTTCCTGAAAACAAAGTACCACTGTTAAATCATGCAAACAATACATGCATCTCCCTGAATAGGTACTGTAATTACTTTTAATTGTTCAGACTTTCAAACAATCATTCTTAATGTCTCGGGAATACTATGTCACACACACCTAAGTAAAAGAATAAAGAAAACCTTAGTTACCTTAGCAACTAAAATGCCATAATCTTCAAGTGCCTCTGCAGACTTTTCAAACTTCTCAAGGAAAAGTCTAATGGTTGGATTGACTAAAACACCAAAACAAAATAAATTCAGGATAAATCACTTTACACGATAAAATATAACATAAAAAAACACAGCCACACAACAATATGCTGTATCAACAAAGCCAGAATGGAAAAGTAGATTTTAAAGATAACCTTCATTAATTTGTGAATTACTGTAAGTACAACTCAATAACATTCAAAAGTACCTAACCAATCGTAATATTCAATTTCCTTAAAAATCTAAGGGGTACAGCACTTTGATTCATTTCTATTAAGACATATAGAGACAAGGCATAACAAAGTAACCATGCAAAAGCTAAAATTGCTAAAAGACCTAGCTGGAAGATTAAATACCAATGGCCCCAGTGATGATCAGTAAGCACGGGATCACTGTACATTAGAGACCATGCTGATAGGAATGTGTACATAAAGCATTGAAGACAGCAGCTATAATGAAGCACAAACTACAGTACAGGAAGTGTTATGTTCGTTCTCCTCCAAGAACATCGTTTTTGCATTCTTATCACGTTCATTGGGACGTCTAGATATATCTAATCAAAATGTTAACAAATAACGGTGGCGATTCCACGGACAGCAGGTTGGAGCGACTCCGAGAAGCACCAACATACTGTAAAATGAACTTAACATTTCACCTTCTTTACCTTTATTTCCAAAATAAACGAACGATGTTTTTCCCGAGTTTTGGATGCCATAAAATCGTTCTTGTGTGCATTCTATCAGCTTGGTCCCATGCGTCGTGGAGTAAAAAGTACTAGGCGCCCACAACACCCAGATCACAAAACCCACCGTCTTCCACACCATGTTAAGAGGCAAGAGCAGAGACGTCAGGCTGTAAAATCGACACAATACACACAGGTATCTTAATATTTGCAGGTATTATCCCATTAACCAGCTAAAACTGGTTAAGAGCGTGCAAAAAAGGCAGACAAAAGCACATTATTACTGCATAATAATTTTTTTTCAAGCAAAGTATTTTTGTTGGGCTTTACCCTGAGTAGTTTTGTAGGTACACCAATGCATTTTTCATTCAATCTGCAAATTCACCACTGGTGGAATGTTACATTTTTAACCAATCCTAAACCTGTTGCCACCGTGGTTTGTACATTACACCTGCAAAACACAAATCTGAACATTTAAATTAATAAATAATTATTGTACAGTGTTAACAGCTTAATAAACTCGTACTCCCCAACACACAGTTGCATCGATCATTAAAGTTTGCCAAAAACAGTTAATGGAGCGGGTGCGCTTGTGCGCTACATTACATATTTAATTGGCACCCTAAAATATATATAAATAACAATTAACATTTTTCTCTTTTTAAAGATTGACTTAATACCTTTGTTAAAAACCTTCTACCATCAACCTCTCTCCCAGCAATGCCATAATAACCATCTTTCCATCAAACCAATCACAAGCGACCTTTTGCGGAAACCTCACATGGTGAAAACAGCCAATAGAATGCAGGTAGAGACGGAGCTAAACTGTTCTGTACCTCAACATCCAATAGTTTTACTCTTTCCCGTTCGAAGACAAGGAGCTGACATCATCAACATCCAATCAAAGGTACTCCTTGTAGGTCGATTTAACCAATATAGATGCACTTCTCGGATGAAGGCGGGAATAGAATTTCTTCGTGTTGAAGGAGGCACCGAAACTGTTGCCATTGTGGTTCAAATATAGCTGTTATGGCGTATACATCTGTCGGTGGATTTGGAGCCAAAATGGCGTATATAGTGCAACAGTGTCTTGTGTGTTTCCTATAGGTCGTGGGCGTGCATGTAACCTCAGTCTCGCTCAGCTGATCGCCCCCCCCCCTCCCTACCGAGTCTTTTTTTTTTTCCCTGAGTTGTTTTTTGCACAGAAGGAGCTGCTTTGCAGAGATTTGGGGGTGTGTGTGTAGTGGGGCTTTATTTTCCTTAAATCACTCGTTTCCTTTTTTTTTTATTTGTCCCGCTTTTCGTTATGGTGCATAAGTTAGATTGGTGTTCTTTTTAATATACCTAAAACTTGATTTTTTTAAAAAGCGAAGACAATAAAAGAAAGTTCAAGCCTTTTATGTTTTTAAAATTAATCGTTCTGAGTAATTAATACGAATTTTACGTGAACAGCTATGTTATTGACGGATAACCAGGTCAGTCTGAGCGTTTTTACATCGGTAACGGACACAACGGATGAGCCGATACAAGCCGCAGTTCTTCCTTCTGTAGAGCTGGGACTGACCGTCGTTTATACTATCCTATATTCGCTGCTGTTTGTATTTGTGTACCTGCAACTCTGGCTTATTTTGCACTATGGTCACAAACGGTTCAGCTACCAGAGTGTCTTTCTCTTCTTGTGTTTGCTGTGGTCAGCGCTTAGGACTACATTATTTTCTTTTTACTTCAAGAACGTGGTTCAGGCTAACCAACTGCAGCCTCTGCCTTACTGGCTTTTGTACTGTTTCCCCGTATGTCTACAGTTCTTCACGTTGTGTCTGCTAAATCTTTACTTTGCACAGGTGAGTATCGGTTATTTTCCATTTTGTTCCACTTTGTTCTCGGCGCGGAGTGCCGCTACAGATACGAATTGATCTTTTCTGGGTTTGTCATCCGTGAACATCAGAAACTATCAGAATTGTGTGGTCCCCACGGTTTCGCCGAGTTGAAATCGCGAGTTTATCGGGTGTTTTTACAGTAGCGTTGTCATTGTGCGTAGCCTTTTTTTGGGACAAATGATAACGGTTTGTTATTACTGGCGTATTTTTTTATTTATGTTCTGTCCATCTTTATTATCGTGCGTTTTGTGATTCTGGTGAATGCAGCGGTTAAACACTGAAGTTCTCCATACAGCCAGATTCCCCTTTTCTCAAGTCATTTGAGCGGTAAGTCAATTGCTGCGAAGGAAAAAGGAGACAAACTGCTAAAAAAAAGTATCGATCACTCACTGATCCTGGAAGGTCACTTAAATCAAGATGTTAAACAGTTCGCAGTTAGTAAATTGTATTGTTGTTTCGGCAGCCTTGCTGCGCTCAAGGGGAAAAACATACAGTGCAACTGAGCTGGGCTTTTCGGTCTCTCAGATCGGAGGCTGTTTCTGGGGCAGCTTCACAGTTTTAGTTTTCAGAGCATCTTAGCTATAGGCCGGTGTGAAGAAAAAAGGATTCTCAGATGTTTGTTGGGTGAGGGGTGGTGTCACGAGATGTCCATTGGAGTGAGATGCTCCTGCACAAGATAAGAAATAACAATTGTCCACCAAAAGGGTGGAAATGTCTTTGCCATCACCATACAAAACTTTACAAAAACTAAAATAACAGCATAAAATAAATCCACACCACAACCATTAACTTTCATTTATCAGGCTGTAACACCGTTGTCTCTACTCAAGAGAGGGAGGAGGCTTAGATTCTAGTAAATGCTGTGTGGAACTTAATTTTATCCGTTAAGGTTCAGCATGTGCTTCGGTCTGAAATTTTGGCAATCGTACTGCTTTCCAAGTTGTGTACTGAAACCCACTTATCAACAGAGTACAGTTCATCAAAGATTACACAAGGCACTCTGATTAATAATGCATGTGACTTGTTTATCTCTTGTTTTGTGCACATTAATTACTGCACAAATTAATTGATTTTCAGTCTTTTTAAATTCTGCTACAATTACTTATTGGGTTTTAGAATCACCTATCTATTAATGTTCAGTCTAATCACATTTACTTGGCTCCGAATTTCATATTATTGGTATTCAACTGAAATTTTGTTTTAGCCCTACAGGTAGCAATAAACATGACTTAAGGTTAAAGAAGGCAGCACTATACATGATATCCAGTGTTGCTATTGGATGTCACAAAAACAAATTTGATAATATGTGAAATTACTCACACCCATCAAACAGTCTGAAAATAAATGTGAATTTGAAGTGGGTTCTGCTTTGTGGTTATCTAGTTTCTGGAAGCTTCTAGGTGTCACCTTGAATGCCACAGGGTAGAAAAGGAGGCTGAGTACCAAGTCACTAATGGGAATCTTCAGAAAATGAGTGACAATAAGTTAAACATGCTGGTTTCTAGACAGTCCTACTAGTTAATCTTTCGGTGTTAACAGCTGAATGTTCATTTTTATCCCTCCTGTGAATTACAGAACCTGGTGTTTTTGTTAGAACTGAGGAACAAATATATTCCAAATGACATCAGAGTAATTGATCCAGAAGCCGTTAGTGTTAGTTAGGGTTAAGGTACTCAACTTTGCTCCCAAATGGACTTTAAGGCAATCTAATAATGTGAAACACGCCCCCAATCCTAGTGCCAAATCATCAAGGGAGGTGACAGTGGTGCAGGCCTCAACCCAGCAGAAGGTTTGTGGTGTGAACAAAAGAAAGCAGTTTGCAAGCCATGTCATCTGAAGGAACTAGAGACATTCAGCTAAGAGGAATGGTCAAAGATCCCCCCCCCGTCTGCATTAAAAACATTTAAAAGCCTAGAGGAACCATCTTGGATATATTAATCAAAGAAAAAGGAGTCTCAACACCGTTCTATTTGGTACTTGCTTAGTTCTGAACCTTGTATATGGTTGTTTAGATAAGTATGTAGTTATCTTTTGACAGGATTTTAAATTTTAATACTAATCATCTTACAAATGTTTATTTTCATTTATACCTCATATTCTGAATGTAGACGTCCTTTGTTTTGGCTAAAACAAATCTTGGTTACTTTGGATTATAAGGGTGCAAGTAACCTAATTCTTTTTCAGATGATTAGGGCATCACTGTATTAAGACTATATTGCTACTGTATTTACATTTATGGTATATCCAGGCACTCATACTAATTCTGTGCCAAACACAAATAATAGGTCTGCTTAGAATTCAGTTTGCTGAGGTAAGGTTACTGTTGCACCACTCTTCAGATTGTTTGATTGCATGAATTCCATTGGGATGCAAACAAGGAAATGATGACTCCCCGGGAGGAAATAAAAGACTAAGCATTTTTATTTTCTTGTCAGTAATGGTAAATGCATCATATGCTTCATTCCTCCATTTCAATAATAAAAAAAGCCGGTACACATTCCTACATTGTTTTTTTTATCCCATTTTTAGGTTGTGACATTGTCAGACTTTTTTAGCCTACCTGCTGGTTACTATGTTCCCTCCGATGCAAGTCCATATACATTGTGGAGTGAAGTTATAATACAAAATACACACAGGCAAATTTGTAATTGGTGTGACTTTGAAGAAACTCTCAAGCTTAGGCTTTAAGCACTATTTATTTCACAGCATAGTAAAACCACCTGGTGGTTTTCTATAATGTTTACAGCAGTCATTTCTTTCTTTAACAAATGATTAGTTACTGCATCAAGGTGCAAAAAAAAGTCAACGTGTGATCTCTGGCCACATTACCTCAGGCATTATATGCTGCTTTTTGTAGCAAAGTTAACTGAAATTGCTATGTACCGACCGCCCTCTATTACTTACCAAGAATATCAGGAACATTTGTAAGGATCACGTATAAATTAACTATAGGGACTTTTCTGTATGTTCTTCGGTTCTGATAATGTAGTGCAGTGCATGAATGCTAAGGCCTGCTGGAGCTGGCATTTAAAAGCCTTAGCCAATCAGAAGCGCCTGCAGGAGCATTACATCATCACATTCAGTCCTGTACTATTCTAGGAGCACAAAAGCGGGTGTATAGCATTCAAAAAGAAATTGTTAGCATTCGGACAATGCGGTAAATTTTATCTGCAACGTTTTCTTTGCTTTAGCATTGAACATTACATTGTCATTTTGGGGTGATATTGCCGGATCTCTGTTAATAAAATAATGTCTTCCTAACTTTTTGTGCCAGTGTGGTAAAGAAATGGTAAAGATTTATCAGGAATACGAAATTATCTTTTATTAATAGGGAAGCTTAAATGTCCTTTTGTGTCTGAATGTCAAAATGGTTTTGCCCTGCAAGGTTGAAAGAGCTGATGAGCTGCTGTTCCCTTTCTCTCTCTGTACCAATTCAAGCAATGCACCCCCTTATTCATGGCTAAGATAAAGTGTAAATTCTGTGATTTTGCAAACATTAGCTTGTTCTATCCATAATACTTGCCATAATAATGCCATAAATCTTATACTGTAGCATTCTTCAACCCAAAGCACAGTAAGAAGGGACCCACTTCATCCCTTCTGAAGTGTAGCAACTACTTTTGTCTGCTGGTGGTCCTACTGCTACAGCACATCAGGTAGAGAAGTGAGAGACTGCCTCACCAGGTGAAATAATGGGAGAACGTTAGGTAGGTCAGGTTGTAAAATCCCAGGCTGGGATTTAGCCTTGACAGCAGGGTTAACAGCCCTACTGTAACAGGGTTTTGGGATCTTTAATGACCAAGTAGTTAAGATCTGGTTTGATGTGTCATCTGAAAGATGACACCTCATACAGCACAGTGTCCTCAGTCAGTATATTTGGTTTTGGAAATTCTGGTCCACAGAAAGATACCATCTTTTCGTACCATTTTCAGCACAATTTACAGCAGCAATCTGGTTTTCTTTAGGTGTTTTCCATCCCAGTACTGACCAACTAATAAGGTTATGAGACCTACTGTAACAAGATCAGGTGAGAAGATTCTAATTCAATTGGAAATATAAGTAGCTGTTTTATTATCCTTTTTTAAAGTGTAATTTTGTAAACCCTTAAGTGTAACCATATCTCCTTGGAAGTTCAGAGGTGTTTTAGAGTGAGTTAATTGTAAAATGGAAAAGCTTTTAAAATGGGTTTAGACATGCAGTTAAAAATAGGAACAAGCAACAAAAGGAGATTTGGTTGCCATCTTCTGAGAAATATTTTCAAGAGGAAGTGCAGTTTATTTCGGGGTTAGTAAGAATCGGCACCGATGAGTGCATTTTAAACCATAATGAAAGTAACGTGCATAGTAACATGTAAAACCTCCAATTTACATCTCAAAATAGACCAAACTTCCAGGTATGTGCAGTGACATTTTGCCGCCATTGTCTGCGATTCAGAATGAGGCAGAACAAAAAATCTGGTGAGGTGAAGCGGCCCTATTACATTGTAAACAAGCAGACTTGTGCACACATTTCTGTTAATCCAGTAGAGAGATTGTTCTTGAATTCAAGATAGTTTTGCCAACAAATACTATTTACTTGTTAATTCTGCATGCAGATCACATTAGAACATTTCTGTGGGGAAATGTTCTCTGGACAGCGTACTTGTTTGCTTGTACATTACGTTAGTAATGACAGTGACTAGTGAGCAGGAAGGGCTGCATTGCAGTTTGTGCAGAGTCTTACTCTCACCTGTGGCGAGACCAGCGATTTGTGACATGGAGCCTATACATTACTTTCACAAAGTTCCCAATTTTGTGCTTAATTCTGAATTTGTATAATTTTGCGATACCCTGAGTTTATTTTGTTGCCGAGATTTAGTAACCAGTCTGAGGGTTTTTATAGTCAAAGCTGAGGTTTGAAAATCCAAGGGAGAGCAAAGTGTAGATCAAAGATCGCTTTGAATATCACTGATCACAATCAGCACT